GCCACCGCCGCCTCTCGTCCAGCCCACTTCCTTGCACACCACTCCACCTCCACCAGTCGCGACACACAGATCAGCGCCGCCGTCGGTAACCCAACCTCCCTGGTGCCAGGTTTTTCTTTATTAATTTTGTGGTCTCTGATTCCGATTCCAATTTCTTGATGTTGATGGGATTTTGATGATTGCGATTTCATTGAGTAAATTTGTTTGGATTGCATCTGTGTTACTGGAGCCAGTGGGTTGGGTTATGTCCTGCAACTGATTTGCCTAGTCAGATATAACTGTCGTTTGTTTAGGCTCTTGAAGTACTGTCTGGTGTTGTTTGTAATTTTTAGTGGCTTTGGTTGGCCATTTGATTTAATTTTTTCCTGTGCATTTACCAGTGGTACTGGCGATGGTAATTGTTTAACATTTGTAATCCTGTGTTATTGGTTGCCTAATCGACTATTGGGCATTTGTAGTTGAGTTGTTTCTGTCCAACTTCTGAACTGCTGTTGCTGGAGTGTCATTTTCTTAGGTCAATTGCTAATTTGGGCTGGTTGAATTGGGTAATTGACTGTCCAATTGGAGACAGTTGTTAAGATTTTGGGTCCAATTGTGTCTAATTTGTTGTAATTTGTGTCCAATTGTGGGTAATTTGTTTGTTAATTAAATTGGAAGGTACCATTCTCACCTATTACCATTCTCAACTTCTGAACTGCTGTTGCTGGAGTGTCATTTTCTTAGGTCAATTGCTAATTTGGGCTGGTTGAATTGGGTAATTGACTATCCAATTGGAGACAGTTGTTAAGATTTTGGGTCCAATTGTGTCTAATTTGTTGTAATTTGTGTCCAATTGTGGGTAATTTGTTTGTTAATTAAATTGGAAGGTACCATTCTCACCTATTACCTGCCTGCTTGGAATATCCATTGTTGGGTTTCTTTGTTGGCATCACTAAAGGACTCCTCTGCTGGAATTTAGTTGCATCAGTCTCTGTGGTCCTTGGGGCCCGTAAATCAGCTGTTTCATAGCTTGTCGATCCTTTGTTGCATCCCTGTGGGCATTGTAATTCCCGTTGATTGAGTTGTTATCTAGTTTTTGAGGACACCTCTGGTAGTTCCTTTATTTGGGAGTTATTTGGGGTTGAGTTGGGAGCTATTGGCCAATTGATTCCTATTTTGCTTTCGTCCTGTTTCTGGTACTGTATGGTTTTGATTGGGGGGTGTTTCAGTGGTTTGGGCTGCCTGTTTGAATTGGTTCTTACCTGTGTGTGCACCAGTGATACTGGTTGTGGTAGTTTGCATACAATTTATTAATCCTATCTGATTGACTGGCTAATTGACTGCTGGGCATTTGTGCCTGAGTTGTTCTTGTCCACATTCTGAACTGTTGTTGCTCGAATTGTTGGTTTCTTGGGATGTTTGCTAATTTTGGTTCGTCGAGTTGTGTAATTAACTGTCCAATTGAAGACATTTGTTAGGATTTTGGGGTGGGCTAGTTCCGTCATTATCTGTTGATTGTTGGGAGGCATCTCTGACGGTGATTTACTTGTTGAGATTGGTCAATTTTACTTGCATTATCGGGGTAATCTGCCTATCACTTGCATGTGGATTTGTTTGGGACTTTTATTGAAAATTTGCTTTGTTGCTTGAGTGTTTGTTGCTCTGGGCTCTCATTACCCCATCTGGAGCACTGGTCTCTATATTTGTTGGACGCTTTGATTTCTTGTTGATTGGAGTGGTAATTGGAGAGCATGGTGAGACCCAGATCTTCTTCTAGGTCTAGGAACTCCCAACCTCCACCTCCTCCATCCTGCTGTCGCTTGGATCACGACGTACGCTGGAACTCTCCTTCCCTCTGCAACCCTTCACTGCCGTGCACTACCGTAGCACCATTTTCACTCACCGTTCCCAACTATTCCATAGCCGCCCGTGACCTTTCACCACGTATTCAGGGAAGTTTCATTGTCCCATTCACTTTCTTTGCTTTATTACCTTCATTGAGGACAATGTTGGATTTAGGTGTGGGGGGAGAGAGCTGTGGTACAGCTAGTATTTCTAGTTTTCAATTTTTAGATTTTTTTTTCTTCTTTTCCTTTATTTTCGTTGTTATTTGTTCTGTTTTTCGTTTATTTTCTTTTTACTTTTATTAGTGATAAGCTCTTCTGTGACTACCAAGGTTTGATGATGGTTGTTGACTCTAATTCTACTATTGCCAAGTTTTAGTAATAAAAGGGTATCAAATTAATGTGGTTGAGTTCAGGAATATCTCTTTGGTGAATATCAGTAATTGCTTAACTTTTTCAATTTTTGGTTAACTTTTCTAGACATAGGGAATGATTGTTAGCATTTTTCATGTGAATTGGTCTAATTATTAATTTTAGTTCTCCATGTTTGGAAATTTGAAACTGGCTGCTGTTATTTTTGTGCTATTTCTAGTTATTGTGCTGTATGATTGTAAATAAGAGGTGACTGTACTCCACTAGTTGTTACTACTGAGTAATCGAGGATCTTTACCTAAAGTTTCTATTCTCGCGTCAAAAGGTGGTATTTACTATAAGTACCTAGTCCCGTAGCGATTGAAGTTGAGTAACCGGACTCCTCCATCTGTCAAATATTGGAGTTCGTGTCAAAAGGCTCTAAGGACTATAGACTAAGTCTTTCGTTATTCAAAAAAAAAGAAGAAGAAGAAAACAAAAGAAAAAGAAAAAAAAGAAAAAAAAGAGAAGTAAAGTAAAGATTGTGTTAGTATATGAAAAAGTCAGCTTGCCGATTTGTGATCTTAATGTCGAGATTTTAATTAATAGTTGGACTGTTTACTGATAAATGTGAGCAACCATTCCTTTTTCTTAGATTAGTTTGCTTTAAATTGGAGGAGTTGGTGGTTGAGAAGCTAATCGGGGTGATTTTTCTTTGATCTTGACCTGTGATGCTTGATATATGTTTTTCTGGGTATCTTGGCAATACGGTAGTTGGAGCAATAGCCATTGTCAAATTTTGGTGTTCAATTGCTGTTCTCATGCTTGAGGGCAAGCATGATTCATGTGTGGGGGGAATTAATAGGGTGTTAATTGTTAGTAATTTTATTATTAATTTTTCCCTTTGTTCTTGCCAAATATTATTTTAATTATCAATATTTACTTATATTTGGTATTGGACTCAATTTCAGGGAGTGGAGCAGAAAACTACAAAAAAGGAGGGACTTTCTGGAGACAATTGAGACTTCAAACAAACCACAGACCTGGCCCACATGGTGATACAGGCAGACTGCATTTCTTTTGCTGGGAGGAGTGTCTTGAATCCTAGGAGTCCTAGGAGCAATGAGAAACGAGAAAATAGGAAACATTAATAGGCCTTACCTTTTTGTACTTTTGATTGGGGAATCTCGGCAAGGACCACCTGGCTAGCATTAGTCATTTTCTTATGGCTTTAAAAGGGAGCAACGTATAGAGGCTAGGGATGCTTAGTTTTTAGGATAGTTTTTAGTTTTCTTTCTTGTTCTTTGTCAGGCGCATGCCTATTATTCAACAATATTTTCCAACGGGAAAAACATCTTTTATTTCTCGCTCCTAGTGAAAAACGTGATGCCTTTGCAATCAATTAATTTGCGTGGAGATTTATTTATGCGGCGTGGCTAAACTTTTCATCTAGTCAAGGATCAACTCGACGGCGCAGTCCCAAATATCTGTGATATCTAATTAGTTTTCACGCGTTTTTTAATTTGTTAATATTTGCACGTTGCCTATTTGAATTTTCATGAGATTATTTTATTAATTGGATGTCAAGGGCCCGATGTTCAATGTGACTTATTAATCTCCTGCCAAATTAGTCAATTAAATCCGTAATTGTTTGATTGATTAATATTAGTAGCAACTGATATGTTTAAATACTAGGGGAACGTGCAATCTAATTTAAATAACCCTCGTAGCGTGTTATTGATTAGAGTTAGGTTCTTCTAGATCTTAATGTAATTGAGGAATTAATTCCTACGATCGTACCTAGGAGTATTTCTTGATTAGAGGCAATCAATGGTCGTACCTTGGTTATCAATAAATTAAGGAAAAATTGCTCGTTAGATTTCATTGGCGACTATAACTAGCCTATTAATAAATTAAGTGAACCTCCCTTGCATCAATGATCAGGTAAGTGGACTGTGTTTGAGTAGTTGTATCCTTAGTTAGAATTTATCTATTCTTGATTTAATTCCTGCTACATTCGTGTTAGTTAATTATTCATTTTTAGTTTAATTGCTTAATTGTTTTTAGTTTCATTCCAATAAAATCCCCCTTTATCAATTGGAATTTAAAAGAGACAAATATCCTTAGTTCCTGAAGAGACGACCCTACTTGCCACTGTCTACTATTTAGTAATTTTTGTTAACTAATTAATTCTGGTATATCGGATTAAGCAAACTTTTCGGGAACAGGGTAAATCAAGTAACCCATTGCACACTTAGAGTCCCTGCTCCAGTACCTAGGATTATTTATTGACTGCTTTTAGTGGTAGTTAGATGATCATTATTATTATTGCATAGGCTCGACATCTGTCATTGATATATAATCATGCAAACATTTTTTGAAGTTGGAAAATTGTAATTAAATACAAAAAATGCATGACAATTACAATATTAAAAATTTTCTTTTCGTTCAACTCTTGAAAATGATTAAATAGAATGGCATAACTATTTAATAAAAAAATATTCTACAATTAGCTAAATCTAATTCCATACGATCTTATAATAGAAGAAAACTGCACTAAAACAAAAAAGATAAATCAAATTGGGATATAAAAAGTATAACATAATAAGCATGACCGAGTCAAAGCAATACAATCAATTTCTCCACCACAACCTGGCTCCGTCTGAAACATTTAATGTAAGTCATTTACATGCTATGTTTTCAGACTCGGACCGGGACTCGACTCGGTCGAGATCAGGGGTCAGGGGTCAATGGGTTCGACCGGGGTCGATAGGGGGTCGACTCGGATGATGTCATATATATATATATATATATATACACCTGCAAATCAAATTTACAAAATATAACCAAAGAACCCAATCATCTAAATTTATATCCAATTCATCAAACAATTCACCAAATTCATCCAAATTCACAAAATTTATAAAATAGAAATCCCATACATGATTAATCCTTAACAAATAGCCATCCAAATAAGGTAACAAGTTGACTTTGATGCCGATCCTTCATTTGCTGGTGTGGATTGTGAATTGGTACCTTCCACTGTCCTACATTAGAAAGAACATTGAAAATATTAAATAATTTAAAAAATATCCTACAAATGAAAATCTACAGCAATTATTACACATGAAAATACATTGTAAAGTTAAAATTAACATAGTTATCATGATCTGTACAAAAAAAAAAAAAAGAATCCATATATGCACAGCCATCTTGTGACAAAAATCCCACTTCAAATAAAAGAATCCTAAGAGTTAGTAGCAAGCATGCTCAAACTGCCCTTGAGCATTATAAAGCATTCAAAGACAAACTTTCCTTTATAATCGACTCACACAATTTGTGGGAACAATAACCACATATAATACTATAAATACTACTAACAAATAGTGAAAAAGGTACATATAATACTAAAACAGTTATCAACGAAAGGAAAACTCTGGTCAGAAGAGGGATATCATGAAAGTAGGACCATCATTAATTGATGATAATGTAAAACAGAATACTTGGGATGAACAAAGTGGCCATGCATAAAGTCCTCGGCAGTAGAAGTGTAACAAAATTTTTCCTCTCTATGTGACTAAATCCCACATCCAAGATTGTTTTAAGGTATCAATTATCACTTGGACCCCCATGTGAAAGACGGAAAAAAAAAGTTTGTTGCCCAGATCCAGCTCAACGTATCACTATTACATAAATCTGTCCCCAATTCAAAAGTGGCAAGCAGGAATAATGCAGTTTCTGGAACCCACATAACAAAAATCTGTGCGTGGGCGTGATTTCTAGCATAACTGAACAAAGAAGTGCCTGTCAACATCTCAGAAAAGCGAAGCTCATAATGTTACCCTTGAGATCCCATCTTACTATGAAACTTCAACCAGAAGATTTCCAATTTGATTCATAGTGAAAAAAATACATATATTTACCTACCAAATCGAACATTTGAACCTCTAATCTCAAGTGCACAGACCCAATTGGAATTGCAAGAGTTTATAAAAAAACACTTTTAGTAAGACTCGTAGTTTTGCAACTGATGAATTTTCAGGAAGTAAACCTCTAACCATAGAAGAAAATGGAAAACTAGGGGGAGGCTACAATGTGCTATTGCAAACTGCATTGCCCAAGGAATTCCGGGCTTATGATTCAGCTCAAGAAACTATCAGCTCTCAAGGTTTTCAAGACTACATATCCATGTGGATTCGCTTTGGAGATCCTTCACGTATATTCAAGGCTGCCGGTGATAGTATACAAGTTCAGGCATTGGGGTTTCATGGAAGGTCCTTTTAAAGGAAATTCCCCAACTAGAGAAATGGTTGAATTTTTTGGGATGGGCATTTTTGAGGTACCTGTGCTAATACCATATATCCAACTTCCAGTTTTGCTCTCTTTTTTTCTTCATCCAACTAATACTATCCTAATAATTGGACTTGTTCTCAAATTATGGTCCTGGAACAATTGAATGAGAACTCCAAGGTTGTGAAGGTGCAGTTCTTCTACGACCCTGGACAACTACTTGAAGGCCTTCTGAAGGAAAAACCATCAGATGAATATAAGATTAAGGCACTTTCTACCTGCCCATTTTTGCTACAGCAGAGTAACTTAGACAAATGAGCTTGAATCATTCCTGAAGTGCTTTTCTTTGAGTTTCAAGTCAGATCAGAGTAAAGTGCTTTTAAACTAAATATTATTAACGGCCAGAATACTGGGTAAATAATCAAACACTGAATTTAGTTCTCAAATAAGCATTAAATATTTAAATTAAGCTCAACAATTTTCACAAAATAACCACAATCAAGTAACGAAGTAATACATGCAGAGGATAAAAAGGTTAACAACAAACTTTTACACCAAAATAAAAGGAAATAGATTTATGAAAAGTGAAAAAGAAAAAAATGGAATCTGGGTCGGCAGTTGATGAACAAGGAGTACCCACCTCAAACCAGAAACTGTGTGTCTTTGCCTCAAGGCCCTCAACTGAACTAATTCACCAGCTGCCACTGAAGGTGGTCTCTCTTACTCAACAAGCCGCACGAATTTGCCCCTGAGTAGCGACTGCCGACTGAAGTAAAATGCATAAATTTCAGACGCTTTCCTTCACAGGCGCTTTCCAATTAACAGACACACATGTCCATTAATTGGAAAATCTCAATTGACAACGGTGAAGGCTTTTAGATTTAGGGTTATTGGATCTGAGAAGAAAGAAAGAAGACGACGGAAACAAAAGCAGAGGAGCTGACCCAAGCCAAGAGTTTTTTTAATTTCGTCGGTCAGTCAAAAATTTTGACTGAAAAAAAATCACCGAAAAAGGTTATAAAAAAAAAACCGGGGTTGATCAACTTATCCGGTTCACCGGTCAAACCCGGTTTATGACTGGGTTTGACCGAGTTTTTAATACCCGAGTTTCTTAACTAACTCGGACCGGATGCCTGGCCGGTTCCCGGTTCGACCGGTTCAACCGGCCGGTCCGGTCCGAGCCTGAAAACACAGTTTACATGGAGCTATTTGTTATTTAGTCAAACTTGGTAGTTTGACCACACCTCAAGAGAAGTAAATAATTATCCCAAGGATTATTAACTTTTGCGTTTGTTGATCTACAGATAAGAAAACATAAATTTTGTTGTCTTTTTCTTTCAGATTTTGTTATAACTCAAAAGCAATGTTTTAAAACCCGGACCGTCAACTGAATCGGTGAAGTGAAAGGATCGAGGTTCAACCGGTCGGACCGGTTCAACCTCGGTTCAATGAATTTTTTTTTAAAAAAATTATATAAATATATATATGCACAAAATAAGACATGCAATAGACTAATTTAAAACTTTATATGATGAAAAGTTTACTATTTTTGAATAACTTGGATTTTCAAAAATAAATTTTTTAAATTATAAGTTAAAACAAATAAATTTCATTTCAATTTCAATTATATCTATCAAAATAATCTTAAATCTAACCCAAAAATATCACAATATTTTGAAATTATACAAAATTCACGTCTATGAGGATTTGACATTGTAAACTTAAATTTTAATTTATGCCTTTGGGATTTAGAGATTGCAATTTAAAAAAGAAAGTTTGGAGTTCAAAGGAAGTCAAGAGAATCGAAAATAGAAATGCAAACTTGATAAGAAACAAAAAATGAGATAAAAGTGAGTGGTTGTAGCATTAAATAATTTGGGTTAAAAATAATAATTCTTTTTTAACTTTTTTCAAATTTGTGTTTTCAATTCGGCCATTTGACTTTCTCACTCAGTCCATATTCATTGGAAAGAAAAAAATTCTCCATATTCACATTTTTTGTCCACTAGAAAATTGTTATTAGCGTCCAATTATTTATCAATGTTCCCTTATTTAATATTTATTTACCAGTCAGTTAGGTAACAATATCCTTATTCAATCTTACTACCTACGATATTGTTTTGAGATTGAGAAATTAAAATTTTTAAATTTTGTTTTTATGTGTAAAGTACGAATGTGTACAATGTAATTATAAATATTTTTTAAAATAATAATTACTTATCAATTTTTTTCCTAAATACTTGAAATGTCAATGAGCAAGAATATCCCTAAATCTTTCTATCTATTATTGCAATTATTTTATTGTGAGATTGTAATTGAAATTAAAAGTCTAAGTAATTTATTTTCACAAATATTTACATTAATAATCAAGGGGAGTACATTAACAAACATAGATATACCAATATATTTATGATGTAAAGCACAAGTGTTTCTGATGTAATTAAAATTTTTTAAAACAATAATTATCTAAACAATTCAATTTAGTTACCAAATTAGACCTTGTTTGGATTGTCATTTTTTATTTTTTTATTTTTTCACAAATTTATTTCTTGATTATTTTTATTCTACACATATTAAATCGTTGTTGTACATTTTTCTACAAAAATTTAAAAAATAATTTGAAAAAGCTATTTTATTAAAGGATTTTTTTAACGGTTGTCCTAACACATTTAATACACCTAATTTATTATATATATATATATATACTAACAATTATTACTATTTTTGCATTTAATATTTTTTATATACAAAGAAATAAGTTTGATGTACCTTAGGTTTAGGGTGTTTTTATTTTTCATTTGATAAAAGTAGATATCTGCACAAAATAATCGTGTCCACTGCCTATGGTTCAGTGGTAAGGGCTTCTTATGACAAACACAAGGTTTGGTGTTCGACTCTTGGCGGCTGCAATTTGGAAATTCATTTTGAAAAGTTTCAAAAACCGCCGATTCACGGTCTAAGCGGGTTTTTCCGGTTCGTCCGAGTCATCCGGTTTCTAGCGGTTCTTGATTACTTCCGGGTTTAGCTCTAGACCGGACCGTTGGCCTGTCCGGTTCGCGGTCCAACCGTACGTGGAACTTGAAGACCCCTGCGCCCCCAGCTTGGATAGGATGTCCGCCACTTGGTTCGCCTCTCGAAAACAATGACCAATAGTCCAAGTCGACCCGAAGAACGACTGGATTGACTCTATATCTGAGCGAAGAAGCCATGGGCACCTTGAACTGCCGCGCAGGATGTTAGCTAGCACTAGAGAATCCACCTCCACCTGGACCCTGAAAACCCCCGCGCCATACACTGCTGAACCCCAAATAACAACGCCTTTGTTTCGGCTTGTAAACTTGACATCTCCCCTAGGGCAATGGAAAAACCAAAAACCAAATCACCGGCAGAATCCCGGAGGACACCACCCCTCCACTAGGCCCCGGGTTACCTAATGAACACCCATCTGTATTTAATTTGTAGGTCCCCTCCAACGGGAGTTCCCAATAAACCACTGACTTTACTGATAGTAATAACTAACAGTTATTACTGACATTCATATCTCACACTTACCACATTACTCATAGTAATAACTGTTAATTTAAGAAATTCGCAACTACGAAAGTCACATATCCAAAATTTAGGAGCATATTTAAATTATAATTTTCACAATTCAACGTATTTTATTGTCATAATATAGTTTACTCTCATAATCATTCACAAAACGGATGCTCACTAATCCAATTGACCCATTTAATTTGTCATCATATAAATTGAATACTATGTATTATACATTCACCATAGATAAATCTCAGTTACAAACATTTCAGTCAATGACAAAGCCAGGATTTTTTTTCTACACTGGGGCTAAAATGGATACTCTGTTTTTATAATAGAGGAAAGCCATAAAAAGTTAGTGTTTTATTGAAAAATGGATTTATTTTTATTTTAGCCGATAAATAAATTTGTTTATGAAAAAATGGGTACTCTGTTCTTATAATAGAAGAAAGCCATAAAGAACTAGTGTTTTATTGAAAAACGAATTTTTATGTATTTTATCCTCTAAATAAATTTATTTATGGGAAAACATCTTTAAAGAGGTGGCATTTGATGGGAAAATGATACTTTAGGATACCAATGGATAACAGTTAAAACACAATCACAGATTTGACATTTTAAATAGTGAAGAATCAGTTCCGTTTGGATTACATATTTTTGGGGATATTTTTCAAAAACAGCCCTATAGTCCTTCGAACATGAACTACAAGTACTGTACGTATCTGCTATTCTTTTCCCTTTTAGACCATTCTTTTTGACTTATGTGCTTTCTCATAAAACATTTTCATTCATTTTTTTAAATGCAAAAAAAATTAATGAAATATGTATAAATCGAAAAAAATACTATTTTAATTATTGCCACTTTGCTCATACATTGCAAGACTGATAAGAAAACCGTAAAGCGTTGCTATTTTTATGAATAATAATTTTTCCCGTAAATGGCCTGCTCTTTATGGCTTTCCTTTATTATATGTCAACGCACCTGCTTTTAACGAGCATTTTACATCTAATTTACTTAGTACTGTAAACAATGATATTCAGAATGTTTCTTTCCCTTTTAAACCAACTACTTTGACTTGTGATTTTTTGTGCTCCGAGAAAAAAGATTTTCACTTACTTTTTTTTTAAAACTGCAAAAGAAAAAATTAATTTCCCTATAAATTTCACAAAAAACTTGTTTATTCACATACGATCAAGTATGTATACAAGTATATTAATAATACTTACTAAGTAACGTACTCAGTTTTAATCATTAACAATACATTTTAGTGTTATTTCAAATAACACTAAAATATGGGCTTCGTATAAGTTTTTTAAGCATTATACAATAATTTGGCCATAAATTAGCATGTTTTTGTCATTAATCAAATTTACTATGTTATAAGTAAAAATCACTATTTATGTATAAAAACATACTTTTACTTCAAATAAACTTATTCCCTCAAAAGTATATTTGGGATATACTATTGTAATTTATCTCTTTAAAAAGTATGTTTTATATTACTTACAATTTACCTTTTGGACTGTAAAAGTTACTAATTTATTACGTTAATTTACTATTTTAGATGAGAAATTTACTTCCTTATTTTTATCCATAATTCTATTTAAGTGGATAGGTCTAACGGGTAATCAAATGGTCGCTAAAATTTTTAGAACCTATTATATATAAAACTGTTTTGTTTACCGTAACGATAGTTATGGGACCATTTTCCCGGATGCTTAAGCTGAACACTTGAGTACTAAATTTATATATGTATATAAATATAATGAAGGCTTCAATCTCTTTGTGTTTCGCGTTGCCGTGGAATTACTATGTTCACCTTTGCTCCACTTTTCCTTCTTTCAAGTTATTATCCCCGACACGTGTAACATTTACATTTATTAATTGTTAAAACTTCAATACCTGCATATTTTTTTGTCGAAGGCATTTGCAGTATTTTTCCGTTGCTAACGGGTACATTTGTAAATGCATAAATGCCGGTGGTTCTGACCTGCAATTACCCTTCCCTGGCCCAAACTACTACATTGGAAAACGGAAGTCCAAACGTGTGCTTTTTACTTGTAGCCACAGACTAAAATTTAATGTTTGCTCTTCACGTGCTCTTCCATAATTTAACGTTTCCGTTTACACTCCATCCAACTCCAACACGTGGCATGCTCTGAGTGGCTGCCTACGGTAGGAATGGTCAAAGACTTCCTACCATAAAGGTTTCGCTTTTTCCAAGCCTGATATTGCTAGCCACATCTACTGTCAAGCTTTATATCAGCTGTGCATTTCTTCCATCCAGCTTTATATATGAATCTGCAACATAGCCGAATGCAACGTTTTCTTCCGACATTTCACATGATCATGGGTGGATCAACCCATTTCTCTGTTTTCTTACTCGTCGCAATAATTTTACTCTGTTCTTCCAGCAAAACTGTAAATGCAACTTGCTATGGGAAGGAGAAACAAGCTCTTATGGACTTCAAGAAAGACTTGAAAGATCCCTCTGGTAGACTCTCGTCTTGGATTCACGACGTTGATTGCTGCAAATGGGAAGGAGTTGTTTGTAGCAACCGAAGTGGCCACGTGATTCAACTTCACCTTCAGAGTGCTGTTCGTGAAATTGATGATTTTGGTGATGAGGAAGAATCACCATTAAGCGGTAAAATCAGTCATTCGTTACAAAATTTGACTCACTTGCGTTACCTTGATCTAAGTCTAAATGATTTCAGTGGAATTCCAATTCCCAGTTTTTTTGGGTCTCTCAGAAGTCTAAGGTACCTGGATTTATCTGGAGCTGGATTTCAAGGAATGGTTCCCTATCAGCTTGGAAACCTATCAAGTTTACGCACTTTAAGCATAACCTGCAGTGTCTATTCGTCCGATCTTCAAGTTGATAACCGGCAATGGTTGGCTGGTCTCTCGAATCTAGAACACCTAGACATGAGTGGCGTGGACCTTAGTCTAACGTCTAATTGGCTAGAGGTGATTAACATGATCCCTTCTTTGGTAGAGATACATCTGTCCTATTGTCAACTTGGTTTAATTTCTCATCAACTTGGCAGAGAGACGTTTGTCTTCCATGCCAACTTTTCTTCTCTTGCTGTCCTAGATCTTTCTAGAAATAGAAATTTGTTTGGACACCTCATCCCTAGATGGATTTTCGGTCTTACTACCCTTGCTTCTCTTGATTTAAGTATGACCTCGTTTGAAGGCCCATTGCCCAGAGGTTTTAGGAACTTGACTTCCCTCAAGCTCTTGGATCTTTCTGACAACCTTCTGAATGGTTCAGTACCAGATGAGCTTATTCATCTTAATAATCTCATTTCTCTCAACCTTGGGAGGAATCAATTCGAAGGCTTCTTGGATGGAATTTGGAATTGGAGTTCCCTTGCATCTTTGGATCTATCATACAATAACTTCGCTACCTTCCTCCCAAGCCAATTATCCACTTTAACTGCCCTAATTTCACTTGATCTTAGCCACAATCAGTTTCGAGGTTCTATCCCAAGCTCTATTGCCAACATTTCCAACCTTCAACGTCTTGATCTATATGATAACAACCTTAGCTCCTCTTTACCACGTGAAGTATTCACATCGAAGGACTTGATTACACTTGATGCGGGTAGTAATCACTTGAATGGTCCAATTCCAAGCATAGCTGGCAACTGTACCAAGCTAGAAATCCTTCGGCTATATGATAATGCTCTATCTGGTTCAATTCCATCAAATTTAGGAAAACTGTCATCCTTGGAGCACTTGGATGTATCTGGCAACAAACTCACTGGAACTCTTCCTGAAAGTCTAAATGGAAGACTCAAGTATTGCTGATAATTTAATGGAAGGCATTGTGAGTGAGAGTCACTTAGACAATCTGACAACTTTAAGGTCTTTTGATGCATCTGGAAACTCCTTGACCTTAAAAGTAAGTGCAAGTTGGACTCCTCGTGCCCAATTTGAAATACTTGGATTGGGCTCGTGGAAGCTGGGCCCCCAATTTCCTACATGGATCCGGTTACAAAAAATCCTTTTGGATTTGAACTTGTCCTTCGCAGGAATTTCAGATACCATTCTACCTTGGTTTTTCAACTCATCATTCAACTCCATGGTAAGAGTTCAAATATCTCTAAAATTGTTAAAGGTCTATATGTGCATCATAGTCATACACATTCAATGTGCTTCAAATGCCAATGCATACAAAAAGACTGCCAAAATCAAAGCCCAATGCATACAAAAAGCAAAGGCTGCCATGACCAGCCGGCACGTCCGCGCCCGATCAAAAAGACTGCCATGACCAGCAGTGTCAGGCGCGAACGTGCTGACTAGGCACGTCCGCCTCTGCAGCCTTGCGACAGGACTTTGTTACTTTTTGACCTTGCTGACTTTTTCAAAAAAAAAATTTTAATTTATTATGCGGCCGTGCTGAGTAGTTTGAGAAACTCACCCTGTCAGAGGTGCATTTGGCGGATTGTTTTTTTTTTTATGTATAATCTAAGAAATTAGCCGCTGCTAGGCTTCAGCCTGCCAAGAAGCAACGGGCGTCCCGTGGCAAATAGGTCCTCGCAAGTTCCATTGGCTGCAAGTTTGCCTCTCCTCCCCACCTTTATTTTTTAGAGTTATTATCACTTTACTTCTTTAAATTATATTACTGCTATCTATTTAGTACCCTAATACTATCTTTTATCACATTAACCTCATAAGTAATTCAACTCAGTATGTTAACAAATTTTGAACAAAAATATCTTTTTATTTTATAGCATTGTTACATTATTATTATTATTATTACTTTATCCCTTTAAATTATAGTGATACAATCAATTTACACCATAACATTATTTTCTAGGTATTTTAAACTTTTTACCCCACCGTTAACCTAACTAATATATTCAAAAAAATTTAATCTATTTAACTTTTTTATATATAATTAAAAATAAAAAATTGGAATGATTATTCTTCCTTTTTTTCACTTTAAGAGTTCCAAAAGCATAAAAATAAAAGAATTTTCCAAATTAGAAAAAGAAAAAGAGATAGGAGAGAAGGAAATAGAAAATTACATTTTGCAAAGAAAGAAAATAAGTATGAATATAATATTATCATATTACTTTAACATCGTTGGGATTATGATTGGAATTTGAAGGTACATAAAAACGTAAAGTAATTTTAAAATAATAAAAATATATTGAATTCTTTTTATTTGTAATAATTTTTTTAAAAAAAAAGAATTGAGCTCTCTCTCTCTCTCCCCCTTCTATATTTCTATTTTTTTCATCATTAATAGAAAGAGATTAATGTTTTGAATTTGCTTTCTTGATACTAAAAAGAAGAAAAGTCACTCTAAATTTTTTACTATTTTTATTGTACAAGGAGGAGGGTACTTTCTTCTAAAATTCTTTAATTTGCTAAATTGGTTTAACGGTGGGATAAATTGCATAAAAAATAACTCTAGAATGTAAGTTGATAATAATGCTATAGTATATGCGGGAAATGTGAAAACAATTTCAAGGGTTAAATATGTATTCTCAATTGAATGAACAAATTTCATTAAATTTAACCATTAGTCTTGAAAGTAAAGTAAGTGAGATGTAACGTTAAGGGAGTAATTAATAATGAAATCAAAGATAAAATGATAATGACCATTTTTCTTTTACCCCTTCCCGCCCCTTCTCATTCCCTCCCAGTCCGACTAGGAAAATAGTACTCACATCAACGATGCAGGACAGCTTCCGCGGAATTGGGCACCGGTGTAAGTCGGCCCACAGGACCAACCAGCAGCGGCAACATCGTAGAACACCGCGGCCATCACTTTGAAGTGACCTTAAATGAGTGGCTTTTGCTAGACTTGTCAATGGGTCGAATCCGGGCTAGAATTCATTATTCCGGACCCGAACCCGTTATACTATACCGGTTCTGTATCCGGCCCATTTACCTGACGGGTCTTCTATTCTATGTTCCGGACCTGGATCCGACGGGTCTACCCGAATCCGGATCTGGGTCCGGGTCTATCCGAAAAAATAGCTGAAACCTGTTTTACAACAAAATTAGAAAAAATACTACTTTTTTTTATAAAGAAAGGTCAATTTAATTTTGTCCAACAAGTATTATTTCAATGTTGTCACTTGGTTAAAGTCTTAGCTGGGCTATATTGCATGTGTTAATTAACATCTTCTAGATAAAATGTTTAGCATTGATAAATACTTTTTGTAAGATTCAAATTCATACTTTTGCAACAGGTGTTGTATATGCCAAAGGCTCTGCATGTTCGTGAATAATATTTAGTTGTTTGGGCCTTTAGGGTATAGAAGTAAATTTGGGGTATAAATTTGGGATATATTATTGGTGTATATATATCTATTTTATATCCGGATACGAGTTAAATACGGGCCGGAATGATGTATTCCGTATCCGACCTATTTTTTGTTTGATAAAACGGATCCGGATTCGAGTCCGGATAACGGAATTATATCCCTACCCAGACCCGTAAAAAATTGACGGATCCGGGTCAGATCCGGGTCTAGACCGTTGACAGGCCTAGCTTTTGCCATTAAGATAGGCGTTGCTTTGCCAATTTTCGGCCCAGTCTCTTGACGTATGTTCTGGACTCTTTGATTGCCACCGAATGGCCTAGTCTAGAATTTAAAAAGAAATTGTCTGGCCGTGTGGGTTGTAAGTCTATGATTGCATAATACAGCTGTTAAAATTAGTCTTAATTTGTGGAAGGTTGACAATAATTTGCAAAAATTGGCTCTTTAATTTCTCATTGATAATTTTTGGATACCAAAATGTTTTTTAAATAATAATATTTTGCTTGCATCATAAATACTTTTTTAATTACTCTTTTTTATTTTTAACTATATTTTTATTTTAAGTACATCAAATGATAATAAAAAGTATCAATGTAGTATACTATTGCAAATCGCTTCTTCACATAATCTTTTGAAAAGCTTTGTGCTATTGTAGTTATTTTTATAACACAGTGATAGGTTATCGGCCTGTGCAATAATAAAACCTGTTCAGCTACAATTAATTTTTGTAGATAGTGGTAAATAGGGTCGAATTCACAGGGACAGGGTGTAACTGTTTCTTTTCAAATTCACAGTAACAAAGGGGGTGTTTTTGTGCAGAAGGTGACAATCAAATAAATTCAAATAAAATCTAAGAAGCTACCAAAAATTAAATAACAAATTACTAAAATAAAATGGGTGATAATTAAGGATCTAGCCAAGAAATAACTTCAATAATGGTTCATCTAATTGATCATCGATGCACAAGCCAATTCCAATTATTTACCAATAAATAGGTTATAACTGCCAAACAAGCGATGACAGTCAACCCCTCCTTACTGTGTCGGTGATTAAGGTACGCCTGTTAATCACTACTCTAATTGAGAAATAATTCTATGTACGCCCATAAGATTTAATTCCCCAATTGCCTTACGTATTAGAAGAGCCCTATTCTAACCAAATAACGCACTATCAGGGTTATTTCATATTAGCCCGCATATCCCTCTGACACAAATCCAATCGTGTCAGTTGTCACTATTTCAAGGCAATTAAATAATTACGAATTTAAATGCCCTAATTGACAATAGATTACCAAATTAACTAATTATTCGGATTCAAGATAATCAATTAATTAAATAATCATAAGTACTACAACTAAGGAATATGCGAATACCAATAAATAAAGAAAAAAATAAAATTAAATCAATCTCAAATTTTTAGGCGAACCAGAGCCTCCGTTGTTCCTTGACTGAGTGGAAAATTAGCTATATTTGATGAACAAAACCCACAGGAAATTAAAACAAGAGCTGCGGCCATCAAGTGGGTAAATTCAATTCGTTCAAATTACCAGGAAGAACAAGCTACAGGGAGCAAATTCTGGTCTCCGCCTTGTCTACACATACGGAGGAAGAAAAGCAACCAAAAGTTACAAAGGAAAAGTCAAAGGCTGATGCTTCATTCCTCCTGGTCATGTGTAAGAAAAAGCAAAAGAGAAATCCTAAGGGAAAAGTCAACAAGAGTTCCTTGCTAGTGCTCCTCCCTGCAATTCCAATTCTAGTTCCTATCTATTGCTGCTGCCTTGTGCGGCGCTTCCAAGGGAAAGGAACAACCCCTCTTCGGTTCAGCCGTTGCCAAAAGAAAGGGCAAAAGATTTTTTTCTTTGCCAACAATGTCCTTGGGCTAAGCTCTGTGACTTGGGCTCCTTACCTGACAAATTGGCACTTGTTATCGTATTTTCATTTTACTCCCTGAAATAAATGTAAACTACGAAAAGTGAGTAGAATCTAATAATTAATTCATATCGGGTCAAGTAATAGGGGAAATTAATAATAAAATAAATGATAAAATCGCACCCTATCAATTTCTCCCACACCTAAATCATGCTTGTCATCAAGCATAAGCAGTAAACAAACACCAATATTTGACAATGCTATTGCTCTATCTACCAAATTGCCAAGATACAAGAAAATCATAAATCAAGCATCAGTGATAAAAATCCGAATAACATCACCCCGATTTTATGCGTGCAATATGCTAAAGCAGACAAAATATTTTTTATTTCCGAGTACATTTGTTTTATTTACGCAATGCTGCCACGTTAAATGTTGAGACTCAAACTTTTCCCCAGTTATTCAGTGCTACTAGGGAAAAGCTCCATTAACTATTTCTCAAAAATAAATATTTTCAGGCGTCAAACTTTGGCTAATTGCTTAGTTTATAGGTAAAAAAAAAAAACATCCGCCAAATGCACCTCTGAAATGTTTTAAAGTTGGGTTTTTAGATTTTTAGGTTTTAGAGTTAGGGTTTTTGCGTTAATGGTTTAGAGTTTAG